ACCATAGTGTACTGGAGAGTAGAGTTGACCATAGTGTACTGGCCAGTAGAGTTGACCATAGTGTACTTGAGAGTAGAGTTGACCATAGTGTACTGGCCAGTAGAGTTGACCATAGCTGGCCAGTAGAGTTGACCATAGTGTACTGGCCAGTAGAGTTGACCATAGTGTACTGGCCAGTAGAGTTGACCATAGTGTACTGGCAAGTAGAGTTGACCATAGTGTACTGGAGAGTAGAGTAGACCATAGTGTACTGGAGAGTAGAGTTGACCATAGCTGGCCAGTAGAGTTGACCATAGTGTGCTGGCCAGTAGAGTTGACCATAGTGTACTGGCCAGTAGAGTTGACCATAGTGTACTGGAGAGTAGAGTTGACCATAGTGTACTGGAGAGTAGAGTTGACCATAGTGTACTGGAGAGTAGAGTTGACCATAGTGTACTGGAGAGTAGAGTTGACCATAGTGTACTGGCCAGTAGAGTTGACCATAGTGTACTGGAGAGTAGAGTTGACCATAGTGTACTGGAGAGTAGAGTTGACCATAGTGTACTGGAGAGTAGAGTTGACCATAGCTGGCCAGTAGAGTTGACCATAGTGTACTGGCCAGTAGAGTTGACCATAGTGTACTGGCCAGTAGAGTTGACCATAGTGTACTGGAGAGTAGAGTTGACCATAGTGTACTGGAGAGTAGAGTTGACCATAGCTGGCCAGTAGAGTTGACCATAGTGTACTGGCCAGTAGAGTTGACCATAGTGTACTGGCCAGTAGAGTTGACCATAGTGTACTGGAGAGTAGAGTTGACCATAGTGTACTGGAGAGTAGAGTTGACCATAGTGTACTGGAGAGTAGAGTTGACCATAGTGTACTGGCCAGTAGAGTTGACCATAGTGTACTGGAGAGTAGAGTTGACCATAGCTGGCCAGTAGAGTTGACCATAGTGTACTGGAGAGTAGAGTTGACCATAGTGTACTGGAGAGTAGAGTTGACCATAGTGTACTGGCCAGTAGAGTTCACCATAGCTGGCCAGTAGAGTTGACCATAGTGTACTGGAGAGTAGAGTTGACCATAGTGTACTGGAGAGTAGAGTTGACCATTGTGTACTGGAGAGTAGAGTTGACCATAGTGTACTGGCCAGTAGAGTTGACCATAGTGTACTTGAGAGTAGAGTTGACCATAGTGTACTGGAGAGTAGAGTTGACCATAGCTGGCCAGTAGAGTTGACCATAGTGTACTGGCCAGTAGAGTTGACCATAGTGTACTGGCCAGTAGAGTTGACCATAGTGTACTGGAGAGTAGAGTTGACCATAGTGTACTGGAGAGTAGAGTTGACCATAGTGTACTGGAGAGTAGAGTTGACCATAGTGTACTGGAGAGTAGAGTTGACCATAGTGTACTTGAGAGTAGAGTTGACCATAGTGTACTGGCCAGTAGAGTTGACCATAGCTGGCCAGTAGAGTTGACCATAGTGTACTGGAGAGTAGAGTTGACCATAGTGTACTGGAGAGTAGAGTTGACCATAGCTGGCCAGTAGAGTTGACCATAGTGTGCTGGCCAGTAGAGTTGACCATAGTGTACTGGCCAGTAGAGTTGACCATAGTGTACTGGAGAGTAGAGTTGACCATAGTGTACTGGAGAGTAGAGTTGACCATAGTGTACTGGAGAGTAGAGTTGAGCATAGTGTACTGGAGAGTAGAGTTGACCATAGTGTACTGGCCAGTAGAGTTGACCATAGTGTACTGGAGAGTAGAGTTGACCATAGTGTACTGGAGAGTAGAGTTGACCATAGTGTACTGGAGAGTAGAGTTGACCATAGTGTACTGGCCAGTAGAGTTGACCATAGTGTACTGGAGAGTAGAGTTGACCATAGCTGGCCAGTAGATTTGACCATAGTGTACTGGCCAGTAGAGTTGACCATAGTGTACTGGAGAGTAGAGTTGACCATAATGTACTGGCCAGTAGAGTTGACCATAGTGTACTGGAGAGTAGAGTTGACCATAGTGTACTGGAGAGTAGAGTTGACCATAGTGTGCTGGCCAGTAGAGTTGACCATAGTGTACTGGAGAGTAGAGTTGACCATAGCTGGCCAGTAGAGTTGACCATAGTGTACTGGAGAGTAGAGTTGACCATAGTGTACTGGAGAGTAGAGTTGACCATAGCTGGCCAGTAGAGTTGACCATAGTGTGCTGGCCAGTAGAGTTGACCATAGTGTACTGGAGAGTAGAGTTGACCATAGTGTACTGGCCAGTAGAGTTGACCATAGTGTACTGGAGAGTAGAGTTGACCATAGCTGGCCAGTAGAGTTGACCATAGCTGGCCAGTAGAGTTGACCATAGTGTACTGGCCAGTAGAGTTGACCATAGTGTACTGGCCAGTAGAGTTGACCATAGTGTACTGGAGAGTAGAGTTGACCATAGTGTACTGGAGAGTAGAGTTGACCATAGCTGGCCAGTAGAGTTGACCATAGTGTACTGGCCAGTAGAGTTGACCATAGTGTACTGGCCAGTAGAGTTGACCATAGCTGGCCAGTAGAGTTGACCATAGTGTACTGGCCAGTAGAGTTGACCATAGTGTACTGGCCAGTAGAGTTGACCATAGTGTACTGGCCAGTAGAGTTGACCATAGTGTACTGGAGAGTAGAGTTGACCATAGCTGGCCAGTAGAGTTGACCATAGTGTACTGGCCAGTAGAGTTGACCATAGTGTACTGGCCAGTAGAGTTGACCATAGTGTACTGGCCAGTAGAGTTCACCATAGCTGGCCAGTAGAGTTGACCATAGTGTACTGGAGAGTAGAGTTGACCATAGTGTACTGGAGAGTAGAGTTGACCATAGTGTACTGGAGAGTAGAGTTGACCATAGTGTACTGGAGAGTAGAGTTGACCATAGTGTACTGGCCAGTAGAGTTGAACATAGTGTACTGGTGAGTAGAGTTGACCATAGTGTACTGGAGAGTAGAGTTGACCATAGTGTACTGGAGAGTAGAGTTGACCATAGTGTACTGGAGAGTAGAGTTGACCATAGTGTACTGGCCAGTAGAGTTGACCATAGTGTACTTGAGAGTAGAGTTGACCATAGTGTACTGGCCAGTAGAGTTGACCATAGTGTACTTGAGAGTAGAGTTGACCATAGTGTACTGGCCAGTAGAGTTGACCATAGTGTACTGGCCAGTAGAGTTGACCATAGTGTACTGGAGAGTAGAGTTGACCATAGTGTGCTAGACATTGGACAGTTGACAAACGATGTCTGTTGGTGTAATGGCGACTTGTCCGTGTAATTGTGACTTGTCCGTGTAATGGCGACTTGTCCGTGTAATGGCGTCTAGTCCGGCACTAAAGAGGCAACCTTCGAGCGCCCGACCAACTGACCAGGGGAGCTGTAAACGTCAGGAAGTGGACCTTAGAGAATCTGTCAGACACAAATTATTGACATTCAGCTGGGGGAGATAGCAGGACCGGCCTTTTAGTTTAGGTGGAGATAATATTAGCGTTTGGTACAGACTAAATAAGTATAGGAAAGTAACTTTAGTGTTTGGTACAGACGGTTTAAGTATAGGAAAGTAACTTTAGTGTTTGTTACAGACTAAATACGTATAGGGACGTAACTTTAGCGTTTGTTACTGAGGATTTAAGTATAGAAATGTTAATTTAGCGTTTGTTACATACAAAATAAAGTTTAGATCAGTGGTTCTTAACCTGTGTTTGATTGAACCCCAAGAGTTCGGCGAGTCAGTATCATGGGTCGGTGGATATCACGACACACACCCGACTCATACGATTCAGTGTCGGCACGAAAGATAGAACTATAAAAAAAAATGTTCGGCGAACGCGAATTTGAAACTTTTGGGTTGGATACCTTGAAAATGTTTAAGAACCTCTGGTTTAGATGACGTAGCAACATCGTTTGTTAACGTGTTATCTCTCAGATTGTTTAGTTAACATTTACGTCACACAGACTTCCTGTTATCTCTTTTACTATTTCTCTATTTAAATGTCTCTATTTTATTCTGATATCACAATATTGTAAACGTGTAAAATTTAAAAAAAATAAATCGTATGAAAACAAAAACCCATCAAGCGACACAATAGAATGTTGTTTTTTTCTAGATCGTTGTTCAACTTGACGAACACAGCCTGTATCGAGGTCTTTGTTTATTTTTTGTGGCTTGATGTTTAAATAGACGTCCAGCCTCTTTCTGAACTTATTTAGCGTTTGTCTTCTAGTGTTATGAATAAATATTAATGTTATAGTTTGGGTCCGAATGTAATGCTTGGTTTAGTTTAAGGTTAGAGCTAATGTTATTGTTTGATTTAATACGGCTAATGTTTTAGTTTAACGTTATGCTATAGTTTTTGTTTGGTTTAAATAATTTAAAGCTTAAGTTTATGTTAAAGTTAGTGTTAGAGCTTACGTTAATGTTAAGTTTAAGGTTTGAGCTTATGTTTATGGTTAGTTTAATGTTAGCGCTTATGTTTATATTAAGTTTAGGGTTAGAGCTTATGTTAAAGTCAAGGTTAGGAGCAAGTTTTCGAATGGGTTACGTCAACAGTATATACCTAACTTGTTTTTTTATAAACCATCTTCTGAAACCCTAATAGTGACACAAGCATTTGGTCCCTATCTAATCCTAACCTTAACCTGTATAACGCCTTGTTATAAAAACCAAAGTAACAGTGGCTTTGACCAGCGTTAAAACAATCAATTAAAAAAATAATTACCAAAAAGGTGAACTTTAACCCTTGTGTCGGACTGTAGAGCATTTGACTGTCAACCTTAAAGTCTCTAGTTCGGGTCCCTGGTTAGATTGGTAGCATGTCCTTGAGTCTACTTAGCTTTGATCGGTACCTGACTTACTTTAGGGAAAGTACAGGCGGCTGGGAATGATACTGACCACACTATCCCTTCATATGCCGAGGTTAAAGAAACAGGTGAACTCTACTTCACCTGACACGTGGGTCTCCAGGTTAAAAAGTGAACTTGACCTACTTAACTTTCACCTTAACCGGCATAGATTACACGGCCTTGACCAACATGCCGGCCAAGGTGACGACACGGCTCAACTCTGATTGGCTGATGACGGAGTTTGATGAGACCCCGGTCATGTCCACCTACCTGATCGCCGTGGTCGTGTCGGACTTCAAGTACAGGAACTTTACCTTCGACAATGACGTCAGATACGAGGTGGGTGTGGCATCGTGCAGCTGTTTTTACAGCTGTCACAAGTTTGTGTATGTGACACTACTGTGTAAACAGTTGTAAGTTACCGTTTTTGTGTTACAGTAATGTGTATGTTATAGTTGTATATATGTTACAGTTGTATGTATGTTACAGTTGTATGTATGTATGTCACAGTTGTATTTATGTAATAGTTGTATGTGTGTTATAGTTGTATGTATGTCAGTCACAGTTGTGTGTATGTCACAGTTGTATGTATGTCATAGTTGTATGTCAGTCAAAGTTGTATGTATGTCACAATTGTATGGTTGTCACAGATGTATGTATTTCAAATGTGTATGTATGTCAGTCACAGTTGTATGTATGCCCCAGTTGTATAATTTTCGCAACACATTGTATTTTGTATATGTCACAGTATGTGTATGTCACAAAACTATGTTTAGCACAAAATACGCTTAAGTCTCAACGCTGTGGATTAAAAATTTCCGAAACAAATAAGCCTGTCACAATTTACATATTTTTGTTTGGAATTTTTAAATTTTATAACAAAATTACTTGTCTTTAGACACATTCGTGTATATTTGTTTAGCAGTGTTTGGGTCGTTGGAGAAGCTGTTTGTGGCCAAGTGAATGTGATTTGGTTCTGTTTGACGTTTCAGTTAAAAATCTGGGCAAGAGAGGAGGCCTATAGCCAGACTGAGCATGCGCTGAATTTCTCCGTGGAAACCTACAAGTTTTTCACCGACTACTTCGGCATGCAGGACGTGGTCAGGAAGGCGGGTAAATAAAATCTGGCAACTCAAGGGGGACAAGTGAAAAAATCTGGCAACATAAGGGGGACAAGTGAAAAAATCTGGCAACATAAGGGGGACAAGTGAATAAATCTGGCAACATAAGGGGGACAAGTGAATAAATCTGGCAACATAAGGGGGACAAGTGAATAAATCTGGCAACATAAGGGGGATAAGTGAATAAATGTGGCAACATAAGGGGGATAAGTGAATAAATCTGGCAACATAAGGGGGATAAGTGAATAAATGTGGCAACATAAGGGGGATAAGTGAATACATCTGGCAACTCAAGGGGGACAAGTGAATAAATCTGGCAACATAAGGGGGGATAAGTGAATAAATCTGGCAACATAAGGGGGATAAGTGAATAAATCTGGCAACATAAGGGGGACAAGTGAATAAATCTGGCAACATAAGGGGGACAAGTGAATAAATCTGGCAACATAAGGGGGACAAGTGAAAAAATCTGGCAACTCAAGGGGGACAAGTGAATAAATCTGGCAACATAAGGGGGACAAGTGAATAAATCTGGCAACATAAGGGGGACAAGTGAATAAATCTGGCAACATAAGGGGGACAAGTGAATAAATCTGGCAACATAAGGGGGACAAGTGAAAAAATCTGGCAACATAAGGGGGACAAGTGAAAAAATCTGGCAACATAAGGGGACAAGTGAATAAATCTGGCAACTCAAGGGGGGGGGGGCAAGTGAATAAATCTGGCAACATAAGTGGGATAAGTGAACAAAATCTTGCAACATAAGGGGGGCAAGTGAATAAAAATCTGGAACAGAAAGAGGGCTAATGAATAAAAATCTGGCAACATAAGGGAACATGAAAACAAAATCTAAAAAAAAAGTCCTTCTTTCTTCTTCTTCGTTCTTAATTGAGAATATGGTGGAGGATTCAGACAACAAGTCCAACTTCGTGTATGAACTGGACTGTGGTCTCCAGTTTGTCAGGTGCCCCATATAATTTTTCCCTGAGTGGGGTGGGCTGGGGCCAGTGTCCGACTCGCGCCTGGCTATACAAAGAACATTCCTGAAGTCCTGTATAGTGCGATCACAGTCCTTTCTTCTAGGTGGATTCAATCACAGATTTTCAGATATTTTATCTATTGGGGGAGGGGGGAGGGGAAGAAGGGCGACTTTTTAAAAAAAAAATTGGGTATCTGACGGTCAAATCTGAATGTGTACCTAACGGTCAAGTGGTCAAGTCTAAATGTGTACCTAATGGTCAAGTGGTCAAGTCTGAGTGTGTACCTGACGGTCAAGTCTAACTGTTTACCTAACGGTCAAGTCTGAATGTGTACCTTACGGTCAAGTCTGACTGTGTACCTAACGGTCAAGTCTGAATGTGTACCTAACGGTCAAGTCTAACTGTTTACCTAACGGTCAAGTCTGAATGTGTACCTAACCGTCAAGTCTAACTGTTTACCTAACGGTCAAGTCTGAATGTGTACCTAACGGTCAAGTCTGAATGTGTACCTAACCGTCAAGTCTAACTGTTTACCTAACGGTCAAGTCTGAATGTGTACCTAACGGTCAAGTCTGAATGTGTACCTAACCGTCAAGTCTAACTGTTTACCTAACGGTCAAGTCTAACTGTTTACCTAACGGTCAAGTCTGAATGTGTACCTAACGGTCAAGTCTGAATGTGTACCTAACCGTCAAGTCTAACTGTTTACCTAACGGTCAAGTCTGAATGTGTACCTAACGGTCAAGTCTGAATGTGTACCTAACGGTCAAGTCTAACTGTTTACCTAACGGTCAAGTCTGAATGTGTACCTAACGGTCAAGTCTAACTGTTTACCTAACGGTCAAGTCTGAATGTGTACCTAACGGTCAAGTCTGAATGTGTACCTAACGGTCAAGTCTAACTGTTTACCTAACGGTCAAGTCTGAATGTGTACCTAACGGTCAAGTCTAACTGTTTACCTAACGGTCAAGTCTGAATGTGTACCTAACGGTCAAGTCTAACTGTTTACCTAACGGTCAAGTCAGAATGTGTACCTAACGGTCAAGTCTAACTGTTTACCTAACGGTCAAGTCTAACTGTTTACCTAACGGTCAAGTCTGAATGTGTACCTAACGGTCAAGTCTAACTGTTTACCTAACGGTCAAGTCTGAATGTGTACCTAACGGTCAAGTCTGAATGTGTACCTAACGGTCAAGTCTAACTGTTTACCTAACGGTCAAGTCTGAATGTGTACCTAACGGTCAAGTCTGAATGTGTACCTAACGGTCAAGTCTAACTGTTTACCCAACTGTCAAGTCTGAATGTGTACCTAACGGTCAAGTCTAACTGTTTACCTAACGGTCAAGTCTGAATGTGTACCTAACGGTCAAGTCTAACTGTTTACCTAACGGTCAAGTCTGAATGTGTACCTAACGGTCAAGTCTAACTGTTTACCTAACGGTCAAGTCAGAATGTGTACCTAACGGTCAAGTCTAACTGTTTACCTAACGGTCAAGTCTGAATGTGTACCTAACGGTCAAGTCTAACTGTTTACCTAACGGTCAAGTCTGAATGTGTACCTAACGGTCAAGTCTGAATGTGTACCTAACGGTCAAGTCTAACTGTTTACCTAACGGTCAAGTCTGAATGTGTACCTAACGGTCAAGTCTGAATGTGTACCTAACGGTCAAGTCTAACTGTTTACCTAACGGTCAAGTCTGAATGTGTACCTAACGGTCAAGTCTAACTGTTTACCTAACGGTCAAGTCTGAATGTGTACCTAACGGTCAAGTCTGAATGTGTACCTAACGGTCAAGTCTAACTGTTTACCTAACGGTCAAGTCTGAATGTGTACCTAACGGTCAAGTCTAACTGTTTACCTAACGGTCAAGTCTGAATGTGTACCTAACGGTCAGGTCTGAATGTGTACCTAACGGTCAAGTCTGAATGTGTACCTAACGGTCAAGTCTAACTGTTTACCTAACGGTCAAGTCTGAATGTGTACCTAACGGTCAAGTCTAACTGTTTACCTAACGGTCAAGTCTGAATGTGTACCTAACGGTCAAGTCTAACTGTTTACCTAACGGTCAAGTCTGAATGTGTACCTAACGGTCAAGTCTGAGTGTGTACCTAACGGTCAAGTGTCCCCCACAGATCACATCGCAGTGCCAGACTTCAGTTCTGGTGCCATGGAGAACTGGGGCCTGGTCGTGTACCGCGAGACGTCGCTGCTCTACGACCGTCACGTGTCCTCCAGCCACAACAAGTTCACGGTCACGCTCATCGTCGCGCATGAGATCGCCCACACGGTGAGTCTTTCAAGGTCATCTGCGAGCCGGCAGACCGGCTGAATATCTAACCGGCAGACCGGTAAAGCATGTCTTAATCTTATGTTCCGTGATTTTAAAAATCTTAAAATGGACAAAAAAAATGTGTACGTGTATTTTACGGTCCAGGAAATATTTAACCGTAAAATAATTTCATCGGGTAATGTTTAGACTAGGTAAATCTCTTAATTAGCAAATTCAGACATTCTAGAATCTAAAAAAATATATTGCCTAGAAAAACATCAATAAGGGCATGTAGCGAGCTCCATTTGATAGTGTCCTGAAGGGTTCTCGTGCAAAGTTATCCATCGTCTCGATCAATAGACGTTCTCGTGTTTCAATAAGAGTTGTCTCAACATGCAAGTGATAGGTTAGCTCTCAATACAGTTGTGTAGGCTGTGTGCTGAATGTATGCGGCGTGGGATTTAACTAAGCTTAAAGGATGCATGCCATTGTGATGGGAGATAAATGTGCGGGAGATTATTGTGTAGGAGATTAATTTGTGGAAAATTAATTTATGGGAGATTAATTTGTGGGAGATAAATTTGTGGAAGATTAATTTGTGGGAGATTAATTTGTGGGAGATAAATTTCTGGGAGATTAATGTGTGGGAGATTAATGTGTGGGAGATTAATTTATTGGAGATTCTTTTTTGGGAGATTAATTTGTGGGAGATTAGTGTGTGGGAGATTAATGTGTAGGACATTTATTTGTAGGAGATTGTAAGAGATTACTGTGTAGAAGACTAAAGTGTTTGGAGATTAATGTGCTAGTTCTATCCCAATAAGCGCGTGTAAAGCATAGAATAGGATGTGAGGTGTTGATAACATAAGTTGGTAACTACAGGAAATCTTAGATTATGTTTATGGTTCGCGACGAATGTTAAAGATTTACTAAACAACCGCCTGTTTTTTAAAGTATTCACTTGAGCTTGGTATAGAACAGTCCAATGCTGACCAGTAGTGTGGGTATAGAACAGTCCAATGCTGACCATTAGTGTGGGTATAGAACAGTCCAATGCTGACAATTATTATATGTCTAGTAGTGTGGGTATAGAACAGTCCAATGCTGACCATTAGTGTGGGTATAGAACAGTCCAATGTTGACCTTTAGTGTGGATATAGAACAGTCCAATGCTGACAATTATTGTATGTCTAGTAGTGTGGGTATAGAACAGTCCAATGCTGACCATTAGTGTGGGTATAGAACAGTCCAATGCTGACCATTAGTGTGGATATAGAACAGTCCAATGCTGACCATTAGTGTGGATATAGAACAGTCCAATGCTGACCATTAGTGTGGATATAGAACAGTCCAATGCTGACCATTAGTGTGGGTATAGAACAGTTCAATGCTGACCATTGGTGTGGGTATAGAACAGTCCAATGCTGACCATTAGTGTGGATATAGAACAGTCCAATGCTGACCATTAGTATGGGTATAGAACAGTCCAATGCTGACCATTGTTGTATGTCTAGTAGTGTGGGTATAGAACAGTTCAATGCTGACAATTATTGTGGATATAGAACAGTCCAATGCTGACCATTAGTATGGGTATAGAACAGTCCAATGCTGACCATTGTTGTATGTCTAGTAGTGTGGGTATAGAACAGTCCAATGCTGACCATTAGTGTGGGTATAGAACAGTCCAATGCTGACCATTAGTGTGGGTATAGAACAGTCCAATGCTGACCATTAGTGTGGGTATAGAACAGTTCAATGCTGACCATTGTTGTATGTCTAGTAGTGTGGGTATAGAACAGTCCAATGCTGACCATTGTTGTATGTCTAGTAGTGTGGGTATAGAACAGTCCAATGCTGACCATTAGTATGGGTATAGAACAGTCCAATGCTGACCATTGGTGTGGGTATAGAACAGTCCAATGCTGACCATTGGTGTGGGTATAGAACAGTCCAATGCTGACCATTGTTGTATGTCTAGTAGTGTGGGTATAGAACAGTCCAATGCTGACCATTGGTGTGGGTATAGAACAGTCCAATGCTGACCATTGTTGTATGTCTAGTAGTGTGGGTATAGAACAGTCCAATGCTGACCATTAGTGTGGGTATAGAACAGTCCAATGCTGACCATTAGTGTGGGTATAGAACAGTCCAATGCTGACCATTAGTGTGGATATAGAACAGTCCAATGCTGACCATTAGTGTGGATATAGAACAGTCCAATGCTGACCATTAGTGTGGATATAGAACAGTCCAATGCTGACCATTAGTGTGGATATAGAACAGTCCAATGCTGACCATTAGTGTGGATATAGAACAGTCCAATGCTGACCATTAAAGTGGGTATAGAAAAGTCCAATGCTGACCATTGTTGTATGTCTAGTAGTGTGGGTATAGAACAGTCCAATGCTGACCATTGGTGTGGGTATAGAACAGTCCAATGCTGACCATTGGTGTGGGTATAGAACAGTTCAATGCTGACAATTATTGTGGATATAGAACAGTCCAATGCTGACCATTATTGTGGGTATAGAACAGTCCAATGCTGACCATTAGTGTGGATATAGAACAGTCCAATGCTGACCATTGTTGTATGCCCAGTAGTGTGGGTATAGAACAGTCCAATGCTGACCTTTAGTGTGGGTATAGAACAGGTCAATGCTGACAATTATTGTGGATATAGAACAGTCCAATGCTGACCATTAGTGTGGGTATAGAACAGTCCAATGCTGACCATTGTTGTATGTCTAGTAGTGTGGGTATAGAACAGTTCAATGCTGACAATTATTGTGGATATAGAACAGTCCAATGCTGACCATTAGTATGGGTATAGAACAGTCCAATGCTGACCATTGTTGTATGTCTAGTAGTGTGGGTATAGAACAGTCCAATGCTGACCATTGGTGTGGGTATAGAACAGTTCAATGCTGACCATTGGTGTGGGTATAGAACAGTCCAATGCTGACAATTATTGTGGATATAGAACAGTCCAATGCTGACCATTGTTGTATACCCAGTAGTGTGGGTATAGAACAGTCCAATGCTGACCATTGGTGTGGGTATAGAACAGTCCAATGCTGACCATTGTTGTATGTCTAGTAGTGTGGGTATAGAACAGTCCAATGCTGACCATTAGTGTGGGTATAGAACAGTCCAATGCTGACCATTGGTGTGGGTATAGAACAGTTCAATGCTGACAATTATTGTGGATATAGAACAGTCCAATGCTGACAATTATTGTGGATATAGAACAGTCCAATGCTGACCATTGTTGTATACCCAGTAGTGTGGGTATAGAACAGTCCAATGCTGACCATTAGTGTGGGTATAGAACAGTCCAATGCTGACCATTGGTGTGGGTATAGAACAGTCCAATGCTGACCATTAGTGTGGGTATAGAACAGTCCAATGCTGACCATTGGTGTGGGTATAGAACAGTCCAATGCTGACCATTGGTGTGGGTATAGAACAGTCCAATGCTGACCATTGGTGTGGGTATAGAACAGTTCAATGCTGACAATTATTGTGGATATAGAACAGTCCAATGCTGACCATTGTTGTATACCCAGTAGTGTGGGTATAGAACAGTCCAATGCTGACCATTGGTGTGGGTATAGAACAGTCCAATGCTGACCATTGTTGTATGTCTAGTAGTGTGGGTATAGAACAGTCCAATGCTGACCATTGGTGTGGGTATAGAACAGTCCAATGCTGACCATTGTTGTATGTCCAGTAGTGTGGGTATAGAACAGTTCAATGCTGACTATTGTTGTAGGTATAGAACAGTCCAATGCTGACCATTGTATTTCTCCTGTGTCCAGTGGTTTGGCAACATGGTGACCATGAAGTGGTGGGATGACCTGTGGTTGAACGAAGGATTCGCCAGTCTCCTCATGTACCTGGCCATGGACCACGTCTACCCGCAGTGGAATGTGGTGAGTATGTGTAGTTACCCACAGTGGAATGTGGTGAGTATTAGTGGTTACCCACAGTGGAATGTGGCGAGTATGTGTGGTTACCCACAGTGGAATGTGGTGAGTATGTGTGGTTACCCACAGTGGAATGTGGTGAGTATGTGTGGTTACCCACAGTGGAATGTGGTGAGTATGTGTGGTTACCCACAGTGGAATGTGGTGAGTATGTGTGGTTACCCACAGTGGAATGTGGTGAGTATGTGTGGTTACCCACAGTGGAATGTGGTATGTGTGGTTACCCTTAGTGGAATGTGGTGAGTATAAGTGGTTACCCACAGTGGAATGTGGTGAGTATGTGTGGTTACCCAATGTAGAATGTGTGTAGTTTATGTGTGGATACCCACAGTGGAATATAGTGAGTGTGGTTACCCACAGTGGAATGTGGTAAGTTCATATGTGCTTAAGCGCAGTTTGATGTGGTTATTTTATTTGTGTATCCATCCACGCTCACCACTCTAATAAGTTTATGTGGGTAAAAATTGTACAAAAAACCTTAACTTTTTTAACCGAAATACACACAAATGATTACTTTCAAAGAAATGGTAAACTTTACGTCTAGAGAGCAGTGAAGTTAGGCAGGAGAAGATGATTCACACATGTGAAAGCAGTAAAAATAATGTTCTGGCACATTTTGGCTGTTTGTAACAGCTTGTAGCAATACAGTGTGTTACGAAAATTTAAATTTATAATCCCTAAAATACCAACACAGCGATATTCTAAATATCTGTAATTTAAAATACATGTGTAAGCTTTCAATGGAATATGAATAAATACATCTTAATATATTGCTATAAAATATAAAAGTCTAATTAGTATATTAAATTATGTAGAAAAGTTCTAATTAATTGTTTCGTGGTATTTTAGTTTGCCATCCAGGTTGTGGTGGAGATCTTCCCTGTGATGGTCAAGGATGCCCTAACTACGTCACATCCGGTTTCATCGCCGATAGCTGACCCAGAAGACATCCCGCAGCATTTTGACACCATCTCGTATAGCAAAGTAATCTGTAATTTCAGCTTGATATTTTGTTACAATACTAAAGTAATCTGAAATTTCAGCTTGATATTTTGTTATCATTTCTCACCTGTGCCCTACTGTCCTACCATTTCTCACCTGTGCCCTACTGTCCTACCATTTCTCACCTGGGGCCCTAATTCCTACCATTTCTCTCCTGGGGCCCTAGTTTCCTACCATTTCTCACCTGGGTCCTACTGTCCTACCATTTCTCACCTGGGTCCTACTGTCCTACCATTTCTCACCTGGGTCCTACTGTCCTACCATTTCTCACCTGGGTCCTACTGTCCTACCATTTCTCACCTGGGCCCTTGTGTCCTACCATTTCTCACCTGGGTCCTTGTGTCCTACTATTTCTCACCTGGGCCCTTCTGTCCTACCATTTCTCACCTGGGTCCTACTGTCCTACCATTTCTCACCTGGGCCCTACTGTCCTACCATTTCTCACTTGGGTTCTACTGTCCTACCATTTCTCACCTGGGGCCTACTGTCCTACCATTTCTCACCTGGGCCCTTGTGTCCTACCATTTCTCACCTGGGTCCTTGTGTCCTACTATTTCTCACCTGGGCCCTTCTGTCCTACCATTTCTCACCTGGGGCCATAGTGTCCTACCATTTCTCACTTGGGGCCTACTGTCCTACCATTTCTCACCTGGGTCCTTGTGTCCTACTATTTCTCACCTGGGCCCTTGTGTCCTACCATTTCTCACCTGGGTTCTTGTGTCCTACTATTTCTCACCTGGGCCCTTGTGTCCTACCATTTCTCACCTGCGGGCCTACTGTCCTACCATTTCTCACCTGGGCCCTTGTGTCCTACCATTTCTCACCTGGGGCCATAGTGTCCTACCATTTCTCACCTGGGTCCTTGTGTCCTACTATTTCTCACCTGGGCCCTTGTGTCCTACCATTTCTCACCTGGGGCCATAGTGTCCTACCATTTCTCACCTGGGGCCTTAGTGTCCTACCATTTCTCAACTGGGTCCTACTGTCCTACCATTTCTCACCTGGGGCCATAGTGTCCTACCATTTCTCACCTGGGGCCATAGTGTCCTACCATTTCTCACCTGGGCCCTTGTGTCCTACCATTTCTCACCTGGGCCCTAGTGTCCTACCATTTCTCACCTGCGGGCCTACTGTCCTACCATTTCTCACCTGGGCCCTACTGTCCTACCATTTCTCACCTGGGGCCTACTGTCCTACCATTTCTCACCTGGGGCCTACTGTCCTACCATTTTTCACCTGGGGCCTACTGTCCTACCATTTATCACCTGGGCCCTTGTGTCCTACCATTTCTCACCTGGGTCATTGTGTCCTACTATTTCTCACCTGGGCCCTTGTGTCCTACCATTTCTCACCTGGGCCCTTGTGTCCTACCATTTCTCACCTGGGCCCTTGTGTCCTACCATTTCTCACCTTGGTCCTTGTGTCCTACTATTTCTCACCTGGGCCCTACTGTCCTACCATATCTCACCTGGGTCCTCCTGTCCTACAATTTCTCACCTGTGGCCCACCTCTTGCAGGGGATGGCGGTGCTGAGGATGGTGATGGACTTTGCTGGGGCCGAGAACTTCCGTAAGGGAGTGAGCAACTACGTGCAGAAGTACAAGTTCAAGAACGCCGAGATGTCCCAGTTGTGGGACACTTTCTCTGAGGTCAGTTTGACCTGGATTTTTTTTAGCGCAATTTCCATTCTGGAGAATTGCGTTTATTAACTCGTCATTTCTGGGAATGGATGGATGAATGAATGTATGGATGAATGTGTGTCCGGGCTTTAAGTCGTATCTCCTCCTCAATGAAGCAATATCGATGACTAGTTCCAAAAGCAATTATGTTAAGCAAGTTACGAGAATGAGCATAGGCCATACAAATTCCGGGTTTCTTTCATGTATTTCCCGGAAAAGCCAAAAAACCTCGAAAAAATGCAGTTTTTTTACCCATATCTCGGCAACCAGACCACTTAGCGACTTGAAACATGTACCAATCGATTCCTGCCATAATTTAGAACAATATTGCCGAAGAAAGTTTTCAAAAATATCCTCTCGTTCGGTCACAAATTTTAAAATTACATAAACACCTACAAACCGATCGTTCTTCTAGCTTGAACGCACCCCAGCATTATACGTCAGAGCTATTTTTAGATAACATAAGGAAATTACGCATAAATGTCACTAGACTTTTTTAATTAACTTGTTTACTAATTAGGGAGCGTTAAATCTGCTTTAAGACTTAATTAGCTCTAGTAACTGTCGTTTTGATTAACCAATATAATGAGATTTACCTTGAAGTTTTTCATCTTAAATGTTTATAAACCGCTTTATTAACGTAATAAATAATTTAACCATGATAAATATAATTCACATAATGATACAATGTTGTTCAATATTTTGTTTGTGAAATCATCTTTTGTCATTTTCTTGCTGCTGTGATGTGCTGTCAATCATCTCATTATATTATCTTTAATTTATCTCATTATATGATCTGTCAATTATCTTATTATATGATCTGTCAATTATCTTATTATATGATCTGTCAATTATCTTATTATATGATCTTTCAATTATCTTATTATATGATCTGTCAATTATCTTATTATATTATCTGTCAATTATCTCGTTATATTATCTGTCAATTATATCATTATATTATCTGTCAATTATCTCATTATATTATCTGTCAATTATCTCATTATATTATCTGTCAATTATCTCATTATATTATTTGTCAATTATCTCATTATATTATCTGTCAATTATCTCATTATATTATCTTTATCTCATTATATTATCTGTCAATTATCTCATTATATTATCTGTCAATTATCTCATTATATTATCTTTATCTCATTATATTATTTGTCAATTATCTCATTATATTATCTGTCAATTATCTCATTATATTATTTGTCAATTATCTCATTATATTATCTGTCAATTATCTTATTATATCATCTTTATCTCATTATATTATCTGTCAATTAACTCATTATATTATCTGTCCATTATCTCATTATATTATCTGTCAATCATCCCATCATATGATGTGTCAACCATCTCATGTCACTTTATTGTTCTTGCTTCATCAGTCTTTTAACTACACGTTTGATATAGCAAAAATCATGGACACCTGGACACGCCAGATGGGCTACCCAGTGGTCACCGTAGTGGACAATGGTGACCACTTCCTCTTGACACAAAAACGATTTCTGCTCGATCAGACACTGGTCAATGGGGATGACCAGGAGAGTCCGTTCGGGTGAGTAGTGGCAGGGTAGTGGCAGGGTAGTGGCAGGGTAGTGGGAGATTAGTGTCAGGCATTAATAAGATTAAAGTCAGGCCTAATGATTATAAGACTGAAGTAATGATTATAAGATTTGAACCCCATGATTATAATATTTGAACGAATGATTATAAGACATGGATTTACGATTGTAAGACGTGGATTAATGATTATAAGACTTGAACTAATGATTATAAGAAGTTCAATAATAATTATAATACTTGAAGTAATGATTATAAGACGTGAACCAATGATTATAAGACTAAACTAATCCACACATCACGTGTCATTGCCCCACCTACCAGGTACAAGTGGTACATCCCGTTCACCTACGTCACACAGGAGGCGCCGTACGACAAGAAAACTATCTGGCTAAACCTTGGCTCAGGTAGGTTCTACTCACAATTATGTCGTGTGGGTTTCTTTCGGACATTTTATGCGGGGGTTTAAAGGTTGTGGGAGGGGAAGCACATTAATTCTCCGTGGGTGGAGGGAGTGGGGAAGGTGGACCTATTTAAAGTATGTATTTTCAATATAGTTATCCATGTGTGTTCTCTTACTAACACATAAGTAAGTCTACGTATGGTAGACACACATATTATTTAACACATAAGTTTGGCGACGTGTGCTAGACACACACATTTGTATTTTGTTTAATGTACACATTTTATTTTGGTCTATACACACATTTGTGGGTGTTGTGTCTGTCTCTCATTGTTTTTAAATTGTTTTCTAAACCAACAATGTTTTACATGAATTTATGATAGCGTCTGTCAATGTGTTTGTTGCTGAAATTCTGAGTTAAAGTAGTTGTTAACTGCGTTTGTTTTGTTTACTTATTGTGGTTGTTTTTTTCCAGCGACAATACCCAAGACGGGTAAAGGCTGGTTGCTAGGCAACTACGAGTTTGTGGGGTTCTATCGAGTGATGTACGACAAGACGATGTGGGGGATGTTCGCTGACCAGCTCATGCGGAACCACACGGTGGGTGGGGCGCTGGGGTGGGGCGTCACTGTTTAATTTACGTCACATGGCATCACTTTTATAATTATTGCTCTAATTCACCTGCTCTCACGTTGTTTTTTTACGTCACAAGACATATACAAGTAACGCTAAACTTTAAACCTACACCATGTAGACAATCGCTTATGAACTAAGTTAAATATACACCTATGACAAATGTTGTTACCTCAGTTGGCTGTGCTCGTCTTGCAGGTATTTCCAGAGGCCAACCGTGCAGGTCTGATAGGAGATGCTTTCACGTTTGCCAGGTGGGTTTGTCGGGTTCTAAACCTTTACTTCTGAACCCTTTATTATGTTACTTCTGAACCCTTTATAATGTTACTTCTGAAACCTTTATTATGTTACTTCTGAACCCTTTATTATGTCAGTTCTGAACTCTATATTTAGTAATCTGTATCAGGTCTGAACCCTATAATCTGTTAGTTATAAACCCTTTATTCAGTTAGCTGTCTTGCTTTTTGAACCCTTTGTTCGGTTAGCTGGGTCATCTCTGAACCCTGTATTCTGTTGGTTATAAACCCTATATTTCCTAACCTGTTTTAATTCTGAACCCTATTTTCTGTTTGCTTCGTCCCTTCTGAACCACCCCAATGTTTTGTTGGTTGTGGTTCTCTTAACCCAGCATCCAAAGGGTTAATTGTGTGAATCTCAGTACACGAACACATTTCACAGTTTTATGACTGAAAGAAACCAGACTGATACAGATTCAATTAAGCAGACGCCTGCTAGAATTAATTAGTCTATCTTTAATTACCTGCACTGAACATTCCGTGCAATTATCCGCGTCACGTCATGTGTGTGAGGTTTTACACCTTAGAGGTTTGACCTATGGAATCGATCAAAGAAGTCTTTGCTCTTGTCTACAGGGTGGTATGGTGTGGTGGTGGGGTGGGGTGGGGGTGGGGTGAGCACTCAGTGGATGGTGGTGCACGTGCATGTAGATTAATCAAACTAAAACCATGTACGTGCCTATTTAACCCAGGGCGAACGTACTGGATTATGATGTCGCCTTGAACTTGACCCGGTATTTGGAGAAAGAGCAGAGTTACATCCCGTGGGAGGCGTTTCATCATTCGATTGAGTTCCTGAGGGGGATGTTGGCCGAGAGTGACGCCTATGTCCAGTTACAGGTCAGTTCCTGGGGGGGGGGTTGATAGAGTGACGCCTATGTCCAGTTACAGGTCAGTTCATGGGGGAGGGGGTTGATAGAGTGACGCCTATGTCCAGTTACAGGTCAGTTCATGAGGGGAGGGGGTTGATAGAGTGACGCCTATGTCCAGTTACAGGTCAGTTCATGGGGGGTGGGTTGATAGAGTGACGCCTATGTCCAGTTACAGGTCAGTTCATGGGGGAGGGGGTTGATAGAGTGACGCCTATGTCCAGTTACAGGTCAGTTCATGGGGGGTGGGTTGATAGAGTGACGCCTATGTCCAGTTACAGGTTAGTTCATGGGGGAGGGGGTTGATAGAGTGACGCCTATGTCCAGTTACAGGTCAGTTCATGGGGGAGGGGGTTGATAGAGTGACGCCTATGTCCAGTTACAGGTCAGTTCATGGGGGAGGGGGTTGATAGAGTGACGCCTATGTCCAGTTACAGGTCAGTTCATGGGGGAGGGGGTTGATAGAGTGACGCCTATGTCCAGTTACAGGTCAGTTCATGGGGGAGGGGGTTGATAGAGTGACGCCTATGTCCAGTTACAGGTCAGTTCATGAGGGGAGGGGGTTGATAGAGTGACGCCTATGTCCAGTTACAGGTCAGTTCATGGGGGAGGGGGTTGATAGAGTGACGCCTATGTCCAGTTACAGGTCAGTTCATGGGGGAGGGGGTTGATAGAGTGACGCCTATGTCCAGTTACAGGTCAGTTCATGGGGGAGGGGGTTGATAGAGTGACGCCTATGTCCAGTTACAGGTCAGTTCATGGGGGAGGGGGTTGATAGAGTGACGCCTATGTCCAGTTACAGGTCAGTTCATGGGGGAGGGGGTTGATAGAGTGACGCCTATGTCCAGTTACAGGTCAGTTCATGGGGGAGGGGGTTGATAGAGTGACGCCTATGTCCAGTTACAGGTCAGTTCATGGGGGATGGGGTTGATAGAGTGACGCCTATGTCCAGTTACAGGTCAGTTCATGGGGGAGGGGGTTAATAGAGTGACGCCTATGTCCAGTTACAGGTTAGTTCATGAGGGGAGGGGGTTGATAGAGTGACGCCTATGTCCAGTTACAGGTCAGTTCATTGGGGGAGGGGGAGTGACGCCTATGTCCAGTTACAGGTCAGTTCGTGGGGGGAGGGGATGTATTAGTTTAGGAGGGGGTGTTTTAGAGTAACGCCTATGTCCAGTTACAGGTCAGTTCGTGGGGGGAGGGGGGTATGTTAGTTTAGGAGGGGTGTGTTAGAGTGGCGCCTATGTCCATTTACAGGTCAATTCTGAGGCGAAGGGGGTATATGTGTTTATTTTTATTTGATTACGATCTAATTATATAGTAGTGGTTTAGTGTTTCGTGTTTTGGTGTTTTGTGGTGCAGTGAGGGATTAATGCTAGGGTGTTGTGTGATTAGTGGTGTTTAGATGTAGATTTAGTGTAGGGTGTTGTGTGATTAGTGGTGTTTAGATGTAGATTTAGTGTAGGGTGTCGTGTGATTAGTGGTGTTTAGATGTAGATTTAGTGTTGTAACATTGAGACGACTCTAATGGCTGGATGATCTCCCCTCACACAGATGTACTTGAGGAAGCTGGTCGGTCCGGTGTTTGAGGTGGTCGGTGCTTCGGACAGAGGAGAGTTACCGGAGAGGTAAGTGGGGGGTGAGGGGGTGGGGGGAGGGGGTGGGGGTGGGGGGAGGGGGTGGACGGAAGGGGGTGGGGTGAGGGGGTGGGGTGAGGGGTGTGAAGTGATGGTCGGTGCTTCGGACAGAGGAGAGTTGCCGGAGAGGTAAGTGGGGGGAGGGGGTGGGGGGTGGGGGGAGGGGGTGGACGGAAGGGGTGGGGTGAGGGGGAGGGGTGAGGGGTGTGAAGTGATGGTCGGTGCTTCGGACAGAGGAGAGTTGCCAGAGAGGTAAGTGGGGGGTGAGGGGGTGGGGTGAGGGAGTGCATCGGATAGAGGAGAGTTGCCGGATAAGGTAGGTGGGGGGGGGGGGGGATTCTCTTGTGTGTTTACTGTGGGGAGGGGGGGAGGGGCATGATTTTTAGTCGATACTAGAAAAAAAATGTTCCTTGTACCCTCTTTCAATGTCTTTTTCAATGCATATTTAAGGAGTCCAAAATAAAAATAAGTACACTTTGGTTCTGAGAAAAACTAATGCGTTTATAAAATCTTCGCCTAATGCTTATCTACAAACTCAGGGTTTAGCTATTCTTAAAGAAAAATGTTTCAAGAACATTTCTGCCTTTGGTATTTAAATAAATAAGATGTATATTTAAGTATATATGTGTGTAGGTGTGGTGCGTGTGTGTGTGTGTGTGTGTGTGTGTGTGTGAGAGAGAGAGAGAGAGAGAGAGAGAGAGAGAGAGAGAGAGAGAGAGAGAGAGAGCTGTCTAAGAAAGAAATTAGAGAATAACAACACACACAAAAATAAAACTGCACTTACAAATGTGTTGATTATTTATAAATTCTATCCTAAAACAACAAATAATTATAAAGTTACTTTCGTTTTAAGCTTTGTTTGTAAATGTATTCTTTAGCCCCTAATTTGCGATACACAGCAGGGCAATTTATGGATCTTGCCTATACAATGAGCCGAATAGAAAATAAAACAACAAAAGAGATTGTCTTCCCTGTGAACTGTAAAGATTAATGAATGCGTTGAAAAAACAATCAACTTATACAATGTTTTGGTAATTTTCCAATAACATAATTAGAGCCAGTACAATAAAAAAATAGATAGAAAATTGCGTAATTTTAAAAATACATACCATTGAACTAAGGATCCTACTTGTATGTCATCGGTTTATTTAAAACGTTGTAGCCATTTAAGACTTGTGTGTTGTAGCCAAATAAGACGTACATGTTGTATACTAATGTATAAACCTAAGACGTGTATGTTGTAGCCAAATAAGACGTACATGTTGTATACTAATGTATAAACCTAAGACGTGTATGTTGTAGCCAAATAAGACGTACATGTTGTATACTAATGTATAAACCTAAGACGTGTATGTTGTAGCCAAATAAGACGTACATGTTGTATACTAATGTATAAACCTAAGACGTGTATGTTGTAGCCAAATAAGACGTACATGTTGTATACTAATGTATAAACCTAAGACGTGTATGTTGTAGCCAAATAAGACGTACATGTTGTATACTAATGTATAAACCTAAGACGTGTATGTTGTAGCCAAATAAGACGTACATGTTGTATACTAATGTATAAACCTAAGACGTGTATGTTGTAGCCAAATAAGACGTACATGTTGTATACTAATGTATAAACCTAAGACGTGTATGTTGTAGTCATGTAAGACGTGTATGTTGTAGTCATGTAAGACGTACATGTTGTATACTAATGTATAAACCTAAGACGTGTATGTTGTAGTCATGTAAGACGTGTATGTTGTAGTCATGTAAGACGTACATGTTGTAGCCATGTAAGACGTACATGTTGTATACTAATGTATAAACCTAAGACGTGTATGTTGTAGCCAAATAAGACGTACATGTTGTATACTAATGTATAAACCTAAGACGTGTATGTTGTAGCCAAATAAGACGTACATGTTGTATACTAATGTATAAACCTAAGACGTGTATGTTGTAGTCATGTAAGACGTGTATGTTGTAGTCATGTAAGACGTACATGTTGTAGCCATGTAAGACGTACATGTTGTATACTAATGTATAAACCTAAGACGTGTATGTTGTAGCCAAATAAGACGTACATGTTGTATACTAATGTATAAACCTAAGACGTGTATGTTGTAGCCAAATAAGACGTACATGTTGTATACTAATGTATAAACCTAAGACGTGTATGTTGTAGTCATGTAAGACGTGTATGTTGTAGTCATGTAAGACGTACATGTTGTAGCCATGTAAGACGTACATGTTGTAGCCATGTAAGACGTACATGTTGTAGTCATGTAAGACGTACATGTTGTATACAAATGTATAAACCTAAGACGTGTATGTTGTAGTTATGTTAGACGTGTATGTTGTAGTCATGTAAGACGTGTATGTTGTAGCCATGTAAGACGTGAATATTATAGCCATGTAAGACGTGTATGTTGTAGCCATGTAAGACGTACACACCTCAGACGTGTATGTTGTAGTCATGTAAGACGTACATGTTGTAGTCATGTAAGACGTACATGTTGTAGCCATGTAAGACGTGAATGTTGTAGCCATGTAAGACGTGTATGTTGTAGTCATGTAAGACGTGTATGTCTTAGACATGTAAGACATACATGTTATAGCCATGTAAGACGTACACACCTCAGACGTGTATGTTGTAGGTACCTGAGACGTGTGATCCTGTCTATGGCGTACATGTTGTATACACCAGTGTATGTTGTATACACCAGTGTATGTTGTATACACCTGTGTATGTTGTAGGTACCTCAGACGTGTGATCCTGTCTATGGCCTGTGATGTCGGAGTAGAGAACGCCGTGATCTACGCTAAAACAATGTTCGACAACTGGATGAAACACGACACTCCGTAAGTCTGGGAATTATCTGCCCTTGTCAGGTTTTCATCTTCCCCCGTAGCTTGAAGAAAGCTAACCAAATTGTTATGTTTGTCAGCCATCTATGCCAACCCCTCTCGTCTTCACTTGTACTAAATCGAAAGAAGTATAATTTTTTTTTAAATAAATAATTTAATCAGTGTACACCCTTCTGAAATCTGTCCCCCCTCCCCTCCTACTAAAGTTTCAAGTGACCCCCTCCCTCCCCGAAGACACATAACTTATAGAAGACACTCATTTTGATAAAAACCTAACCTATAGAGACATGTTCACATTACCCTAGCCGATAACCTATAGAAGAAACTTATGTTGAATAAACCCTAACCTATATATAAGCCTCTTGTTTACCTAACCCTAACCTATAGAATCCACATCTTGACCTAACCCTAACCTATAGAAGCCACATCTTGACCTAACCCTAACCTATAGAAGCCACATCTTGACCTAACCTATAGAAGCCACATCTTGACCTAACCCTAACCTATAGAAGCCACATCTTGACCTAACCCTAACCTATAGAAGCCACATCTTGACCTAACCTATAGAAGCCACATCTTGACCTAACCCTAACCTATAGAAGCCACATCTTGACCTAACCCTAACCTATAGAAGCCACATCTTGACCTAACCCTAACCTATAGAAGCCACATCTTGACCTAACCTATAGAAGCCACATCTTGACCTAACCCTAACCTATAGAAGCCACATCTTGACCTAACCCTAACCTATAGAAGCCACATCTTGACCTAACCCTAACCTATAGAAGCCACATCTTGACCTAACCCTAACCTATAGAAGCCACATCTTGACCTAATCCTAACCTATAGAAGCCACATCTTGACCTAACCCTAACCTATAGATGCCACATCTTGACCTAACCCTAACCTTAAGAAGCCACATCTTGACCTAACCCTAACCTTAAGAAGCCACATCTTGACCTAACCCTAACCTATAGATGCCACATCTTGACCTAACCCTAACCTATAGAAGCCACATCTTGACCTAACCCTAACCTATAGAAGCCACATCTTGACCTAACCCTAACCTATAGAAGCCACATCTTGACCTAACCCTAACCTATAGGAGCCACATCTTGACCTAACCCTAACCTATAGATGCCACATCTTGACCTAACCCTAACCTATAGAAGCCACATCTTGACCTAACCTATAGAAGCCACATCTTGACCTAACCCTAACCTATACAAGCCACATCTTGACCTAACCCTAACCTATAGAAGCCACATCTTGACCTAACCCTAACCTATAGAAGCCACATCTTGACCTAACCCTAACCTATAGAAGCCACATCTTGACCTAACCCTAACCTATAGAAGCCACATCTTGACCTAACCCTAACCTATAGACGCCACATCTTGACCTAACCCTAACCTACAGAAGCCACATCTTGACCTAACCCTAACCTATAGAAGCCACATCTTGACCTAACCCTAACCTATAGAAGCCACATCTTGACCTAACCCTAACCTATAGAAGCCACATCTTGACCTAACCCTAACCTATAGAAGCCACATCTTGACCTAACCCTAACCTATAGAAGCCACATCTTGACCTAACCATAACCTATAGAAGCCACATCTTGACCTAACCCTACATATAGAAGCCACATCTTGACCTAACCCTAACCTATAGAAGCCACATCTTGACCTAACCCTAACCTATAGAAGCCACATCTTGACCTAACCCTAACCTATAGACGCCTCATCTTGACCTAACCCTAACCTATAGAAGCCACATCTTGACCTAACCCTAACCTATAGAAGCCATATCTTGACCTAACCCTAACCTATAGAAGCCACATCTTGACCTAACCCTAACCTATAGAAGCCACATCTTGACCTAACCCTAACCTATAGAAGCCACATCTTGACCTAACCCTAACCTATAGAAGCCACATCTTGACCTAACCCTAACCTATAGAAGCCACATCTTGACCTAACCCTAACCTATAGAAGCCAAATCTTGACCTAACCCTAACCTATAGAAGCCACATCTTGACCTAACCCTAACCTATACAAGCCACATCTTGACCTAACCCTAACCTATACAAGCCAGATCCTAACCTTACTCTAACCTATAGAAGCCACATCTTGACCTAACCTATAGAAGCCACATCTTGACCTAACCCTAACCTATAGAAGCCACATCTTGACCTAACCCTAACCTATAGAAGCCAGATCTTGACCTAACCCTAACCTTTGACCCACCTGTCGCCAGGCTCCCACCTGACCTGTCCATGCTGATCTGCTCTGTTGGTATCCGTGAGGGCGGGGCGGCCGAGTGGGACTTTGTATGGCAGAGGATCAAGTCCACAGAGGTGGCAGCCGAGGGTGATATGATGATGGAGAGTCTCGTCTACACACAGAAGTCTTGGCTACTGTGGAGGTCAGTCGTTGTGGGGGATTGTGTGGGGGTGTGGGGGAGTAGTGAGGGGGACGTTTGTGTGTGTGGAGTGTGTAGGAAGTGTGTGGGAGGTTAGTCACTGTGTGGGAAGTGTGGGGGCGTGGAAGTGTGTGGGTAGTGTGTGTAGCAAGTGTGTGTGATTAGTGTGTTAACTTATGAGGAGGGTCGTACTGTCATAGACCAGTATGCAAGTTCACATTGAGCGGATCAAATTACTGCCAGAATTTGAAATTATTTTTTGTACAAATTCCTGACAGTCACCTGTATGTCTAATGTCACATGTCTGTCTAATGTCACCTGCCTGTCTAATGTCACCTGCCTGTCTAATGTCACCTGCCTGTCTAATGTCACCTGCCTGTCTAATGTCACCTGCCTGTCTAATGTCACCTGCCTGTCTAATGTCACCTGCCTGTCTAATGTCACCTGCCTGTCTAATGTCACCTGCCTGTCTAATGTCCCCTGCCTGTCTAATGTCACCTGCCTGTCTAATGTCACCTGCCTGTCTAATGTCACCTGTCTGTTTCTGCCACAGGTACATCAACTGGGTGTTTGACTCTGAGAAGATCAGGTCCCAAGATGTCCGTGTCGTCATCAGCTACTTCTCCAAAACACCCTGGGCAAGGATGGTGGCCGTCAACTTCGCTATGAGTCGCTGGGACGATTTGGTGCGAGAGTAAGTAGGGAGAGGTGGAGGATGGTAAGAGAGTAGGGAGAGGTGGAGGATGGTGAGAGTAGGGAGAGGTGGAGGATGGTGGGAGAGTAGGGAGAGGTGGAGGATGGTGGCCGTCAACTTCGCTATGAGCCGCTGGGACGATTTGGTGCGAGAGTAAGTAGGGAGAGGTGGAGGATGGCGGGAGAGTAGGGAGAGGTGGAGGATGGTGAGAGAGTAGGGAGAGGTGGAGGATGGTGGGAGAGTAGGGAGAGGTGGAGGATGGTGAGAGTAGGGAGAGGTGGAGGATGGTGAGAGTAGGGAGAGGTGGAGGATGGTGGGAGAGTAGGGAGAGGTGGAGGATGGTGGCCGTCAACTTCGCTATGAGTCGCTGGGACGATTTGGTGCGAGAGTAAGTAGGGAGAGGTGGAGGATGGTGGGAGAGTAGGGAGAGGTGTAGGATGGTGAGAGTAGGGAGAGGTGGAGGATGGTGGGAGAGTAGGGAGAGGTGGAGGATGGTGGGAGAGTAGGGAGAGGTGTAGGATGGTGGGAGAGTAGGGAGAGGTGGAGGATGGTGGGAGAGTAGGGAGAGGTGTAGGATGGTGGGAGAGTAGGGAGAGGTGGAGGATGGTGGGAGAGTAGGGAGAGGTGGAGGATGGTGGGAGAGTAGGGAGAGGTGGAGGATGGTGGGAGAGTAGGGAGAGGTGGAGGATGGTGGGAGAGTAGGGAGAGGTGGAGGATGGTGGGGGAGTAGGGAGAGGTGTAGGATGGTGAGAGTAGGGAGAGGTGGAGGATGGTGAGAGTAGGGAGAGGTGGAGGATGGTGGGAGAGTAGGGAGAGGTGGAGGATGGTGGCCGTCAACTTCGCTATGAGTCGCTGGGACGATTTGGTGCGAGAGTAAGTAGGGAGAGGTGGAGGATGGTGGGAGAGTAGGGAGAGGTGTAGGATGGTGAGAGTAGGGAGAGGTGGAGGATGGTGGGAGAGTAGGGAGAGGTGGAGGATGGTGGGAGAGTAGGGAGAGGTGTAGGATGGTGAGAGTAGGGAGAGGTGGAGGATGGTGGGAGAGTAGGGAGAGGTGGAGGATGGTGGCCGTCAACTTCGCTATGAGTCGCTGGGACGATTTGGTGCGAGAGTAAGTAGGGAGAGGTGGAGGATGGTGAGAGTAGTGAGAGGTGGAGGATGGTGAGAGTAGGGAGAGGTGGAGGATGGTGAGAGTAGGGAGAGGTGGAGGATGGTGGCCGTCAACTTCGCTATGAGTCGCTGGGACGATTTGGTGCGAGAGTAAGTAGGGAGAGGTAGAGGATGGTGAGAGTAGGGAGAGGTGGAGGATGGTGAGAGTAGGGAGAGGTGGAGGATGGTGGCCGTCAACTTCGCTATGAGTCGCTGGGACGATTTGGTGCGAGAGTAAGTAGGTAGAGGTGGAGGATGCTGGGAGAGTAGGGAGAGGTGGATGATGCTGGGAGAGTAGGGAGAGGTGGAGGATGCTGGGAGAATAGGGAGAGGTGGAGGATGCTGGGAGAGTAGGGAGAGGTGGAGGATGGTGGGAGAGTAGGGAGAAGTGGAGGATGCTGGGAGAGTAGGGAGAGGTGGAGGATGGTGGGAGAGTAGGGAGAGGTGGGGGATGCTGGGAGAGTAGGGAGAGGTGGAGGATGGTGGGAGAGTAGGGAGAGGTGGAGGATGCTGGGAAAGTAGGGAGAGGTGAAGGATGGTGGGAGAGTAGGGAGAGTTGGAGGATGCTGGGAGAGTAGGGAGAGGTGGAGGATGGTGGGAGAGTAGGGAGAGGTGGAAGATGGTAGGAGAGTAGGGAGAGGTGGAGGATGTAGAAAAAGTAGGGAGAGGTGGAGGATTGTGGGAGAGTAGAGAGAGGTGGAGGATGATGCTAGAGTAAGTACGGAGATGGTGGGAGAGTTAGTGAAATGTGAAGAGTGTTATTGTGGAGAATTAACCTGCCAATCAAAGCCACACGACTTACATCACCCGACCAATCACAAGCCACCAATTTTTTCCTTAGGTTCGGCCAGGATCAGTTTTTGCTGAGAGAAGTTATACCTGAAGTGACAAACTACATCAACACCGAGTTCAACCTAAAGCAGGTAATGTGATGTAGGACATGATGATAATAAATGCTTGTATTCTTAACTTTCTAGCCTGTTATAATTGTATTGTGTTTAGTTTGATGCAACACCCGTTTATTTTATGTTCCCATTTAATGACAGTTTGAAGCAGTATTTAAAGCCAACACTCCCCGGGGGGCGTCCAAGTCAGTGGACAACGCTTTAGCTTTAATCAGGTGAGATGGTGCTGGGTACCAAGATATGCTGGGTACATTCATGTGCTGGGTACTTAAATATGCTGGGTACATAAATGTGCTGGGTACATACATATGCTGGGTACCGAAATTTACTGGGTTCATTTATATAAGGGCCTACTGTGTAGATGAATATAAGGGGTAGATAAAAATGCTGAATACTTGAATATGCTGGGTACTTAAATATGCTAGGTAAAAAAAATGTGATAGGAACATGACCATCCTACATTAACGTAAATTGACTTGCTCTATATTTCATGTACCTTTTATTCTTCCATAGGGCCAACATTGGATGGATGAGAGCCAACTATAACAACATTAAGCAATGGCTCAACACACACAATCCTTAATATCCATCTAACAACAATCATTGATAGGGCCACATACAATCCTTAATATCCATCTAACAACAATCCTTAATGTTCATGTATCAACAATCATTTGTAGGGCCATATACAATCCCTAATATCCATGTAAAATAATCATACAAACCTTAATAATATCCATGTAGCAACAATCATCGATACGACAACATACAATCCTTAATATCCATCTAGCAACAATAGGAAAACTTATTCACGAGTCATCTAGTAGTGCGGTACACATGGTGGGTCGTTTGATGACGTCAAGGTGATGACAGTCTTCATGTGTCGTCAAGCTGTGTGATGACGATCAAGGAACTTCCGTCATTATTTTACCTCTATGACTCAATGGCTGCAAAACATGGACATTTTTGTTTTTACATATTGATGATGTTTTGTACTAAATTTTTGTGAAGTATTTTGTATACAAAAATGGGAAACACACAATTATATATATATATATATATATATATATATATATATATATATATATATATATATATATATATATATATATATATATATATATATATATTTATATATATATATATATATATATATATATATATATATAAATATATATATATATATATATATATATATATATATATATATATATATATATATATATATATATATATATATATATATATATATATATATATATATATATATATATATATATATATATATATATATACGTGTGCAGTGAACGAGATGTGCAGGAGATTTAGTGTGAGAAATGTCTAAAAGGTGTCTGAAATGTAACGCGATAACGTGATGAATGCCAGATAAATCATTTGATTCTTTTTATTTAACTGTGTAATGTTTACTGTTGGTGATTACAATACAAAATAAAATATTCGATTCATCAGGACCCACTTGTTTGAAATTATGTCTTTGGGATCGAAAAAATGTTTACATTATTCAGAACTGATGTCCTGATATTATAATAAAGTCATCACAATTTTTTTTAGTAAATTTTAGCCATCTTTTGTAATTAATAGGATTTTTTAAACTAAATGGTATTGTATAGGCCATATTATTTCTATAACGAAAATCTAAAACTGATTTTCCTTTTAAATGTAAGAAATATTCTAACCATTTGGTTTTGGTAAACTGACTTTTGATTCACATTTTATGTCGATTTTTATTGCTAAATTTAGAGTAAGTAATAATTATGCTGTTAATTTAGGATTTGAAATAAATTTTATTTGTCTATTTTCATTATTGTTCTGCGATCGTTTTCCGTGGCAGTTTTAAATATTTGTTAAAAAAAAGAAAACAGTCATTTTAAACCAAGAAACCAATGTTAGTTTTAAAATAAGTTTTTAAGTTCCTATATATATGTATATATATATATATATATATATATATATATATATATATATATATATATATATATATATATATATATATATATACAAATGAGATGGAAAGCGGATTCTGTTATAACAAGAACATGAATTTGCTCATACAATATAATGATAAGAATATTGAGGTTATTATTTAATAAGCATTTCAATGTTATTTTTTATTATTGATATACATGTATAAACGATCCTGTGTATTTTTCCAAGTTTTTATATAGTGTATGTGTGCGTCCCATTCTACATCAATAAATGGTCATTTTACCCGACCGTGTCTGTTTTTTTTTTCTTTGTGCTAGTTACTCTTTGTCCAATATTGCCTCCCATTGACCGGTCACTACCGAAACTTTTCTTGATTTTTGCCTTTGGCCAGCCTGTCCACGGACTGGCCATGGTGGACCGGCCAAAGTCTGAAATGGCTCTTGATTTCAGCCTTTGGCCGGCGAGTCCGAATAAGAAGATCATCTATCTAGGAACGACCGGCCAAAGTCCGAATTAGAAGATTATGAGAAGATTTTTTTTTTATACCACAAGGGTCATGATCATTGACGATCATTTAGTTGTTTTAGAACACCATGTTCCCTCGACTCTCATCGCAATGACGCTTCGGGAATACCGCGACCTCTGTCAACATCTGGTATACAGATGCGAACATTATCTCCCACTTCAGCTTGTTTAAACTTGGTACCTTGAGTTTGCAAGCTAGCATGAGTTACTGATCTGATGCCCATAATTTCTTGTTTATTGTGACATAATCTGCAAGTACTGTTCCCTCCGTACCCTTCGTCTGCTTCTTTTGCTATTCCGCATATTGCATGGACATCGTGGCCACAGGATCCACAAGGATGGGCTGCACTACAATATTTTCACATACAACACATAATCTGTTGGCCTTATTATTGTCACGCAACTGGTCTGGACGTTCCGCCACAGCAGCAGATGTATTAGCTGAGGATGTCGTTGCATTTATGGCAACCTCCATTTCTTGTTCAATGTTCTCAAGATCTTCCTCAGTAACTAAATTATCGAGAGCCTCTCTTGGTAGATTTGAAGTAGATCTCTTAGTTGATTTGCATCCAAACACGAGGAAGTGAGTTAAATAAAAGCTTGTAAAAAATAAAAGAAACTAGCTGAGTACAAAAAATAAACATTCCTTTTCCTAAGTAAACAGTATCATAGACAGATCAGTACAGTGCAACAAATATCGTGTTTTTAGTTTGACTTATTGGAAGCAAGACAGTTAGGAGATAATCTTGGGGTGTCGTTAGATAACTGAACATTGTGAAGCGAAACAAACAGCAACATTATCAATTATCCAGCGTTTTAAGCAGCTACAAAGACAGACGCAAGACAGGCGATTGTCTGCCCCGGCTTTTGCCTCCATATTTAAAAACCACATCTTGCCACCTGCTTTTGAAATGACGGGAGAGGGGATTGTGTTTTTAAAAAAGCATGACTTTATTTGTGGAAGATGAAGGGAAGATTAAATTCCGTATCACGTTTAGAAAAGCAAGAGGTACCCCAGGACTACATAGCAAACTTATCAACCATACTTTGAATACTTTCTTCTTCATTCTTAAATGTAGTATTTAAAAAGATCAAACACACTAACTTAACAAAAGAAACTCAATTAGCACACGACTCAAAGATCTTTAACTCAGAAAGCCTCCGCCGTCCCCTCATACAATTGTTATCAGAGTGTGAGTGGGTCTCAAGCAAATAAATATAGGCCTTTATTTACAAGAAAATATTTTATTCTTTAGCAAGATAAACTAATGGGATATGAAATAAATGAAGACTATTAGTGTACACACTGCCATCCGGTGTTAGAGCCTTGTCGTGGCTGGGCAGCTTGTGTATCCTGACCACCCCTAGAGCTATACCAGCGAGAGTGTAAACTCCTGGCAGGTTCAACCAAGCTGGGAAGATCTGCGCGGGTAGGAATCAGACCAAAGCTAACACCCTGGTCCTCCAGGTTGAGGGTTGAAACATAAGGCTGGCAACCTTATCTCGTAAAAAAAATATACCGCTACAGAAACTGTAAGTACACAAATCCAACACCAACTTGGTCGAGGAGGTTCCTCTCGAGAAGAGCCCATAATGCCTACTAGTGAAAGCCTAACGGAAGATAGTTTGCTGACAAATCTCCTAACGCCAAAGACTAAAACCAGATTAGGGACCTGGAACATCAGAACCCTATATGAAAGCAGCAGATCAGCCCAGGTCGCCAAAGAAATGAGGAGGTATAAATTAAAAGTCCTAGGATTAAGTGAGGCACGGTGGTATGGCAGTGGTCTCGGGAGAGACTGTCATCTACTCAGGCCACGAGGACGAAGATCATGAACACACGCAAGGTGTAGCCATAATGATGTCCCCAGAAACAACAAATGCTTTGATTGCATGGGAACCAGTCTCGCCACGACTCATAGCAGCTCGTTTCAATGCTAAGGGAAGGAAAACAACTTTAATTCAGTGCTATGCACCCGCGAATGCTGCAACAGATGAAGAGAAAGAGGATTTCTACAGCGCCCTGCAAGCTCAAATCGACAAATCACCAAAAAGAGATATAAAGATAGTAATGGGAGACATGAATGCCAAAGTTGGAACAGAAAATAAAGATCGGGAGCTCACAATGGGGAAAAATGGAATAGGCATAATAAATGAAAACGGGGAACTCTGCTGATTTCTGTGCATTTAATGATCTAATTATAGGCGGGACAATTTTCTCTCATAAAGATATACATAAGACCACCTGGACGTCACCCGATGGCAAATCAAAGAACCAAATTGATCACATCACAGTTTCCAGAAAGTGGAGAAGAAGTTTAATGGATGTTAGGGCGAAACGAGGTGCAGATGCAGCCTCAGACCACCAACTCGTGGTTGCAATACTAAAATTAAAACTAAAATCCTACAGGGATCGAGCTGATAACCCTCACTATAAATTCAACACAACATATCTGAGGAGTCCAAAAATAAAGGAAGACTTTAACTACGCAGTAAAAAATAGGTATGAAGCACTCTCCACCCAGGCAGAGGAAACAGTAGAGCAAAAACGGCTAGGAATACAGGAACTATGGAACTCAACATGCACTGACGTATTGGGTAGAAGAAAAAATGAACAAAAAGAATGGATCACAACAGAGACATGGGCCAAAATTGAAGATAAATAAACCGGGAGTGATCTCCCCTAAACTTTCTCGTATATTAATACTAATAGTTTCGCTGTCTGTGTATGTGACAAGAACGCTCTGTCTGACAAGAACGCTCTAGAGAAAACACAAGCAAATTAAAAACCTGCATAGTAATTCGAAAAACGAAGTATGACGTCGCCACATTTAGCATCTCAAGCGTGAAGAGTTTCTTGGATACAATTCTTCGGGTAGGGGCGAAGCCCCACCCCCCGCGTAAGAACGTCTGAGCCCCCCCTCCCTGACACAAAAGAAATTTCTTCATCGATACTCTATAATAAAATTACCGCCTAATTAATGTGTCTAATCTAAAAAGTGGTTTTCTTGCAATGTCTTTAATGCAATTCTTCGGGTAGTGGCTAAGCGCGACACCAGTGTTTCTTTCAGACTTTTTCCTCAACGGAGAGGGATGGGGGTACTTGAAATTTTCGGGGGCGGGGGTAGAATTTTCGGGGAGGGGGCGGACACTGGAAAAAGTATATAATTATATTTCGTTGAATGGGACGGTAGACATGTTTTTTTATAGGGGGGGGGGGGGGGTGGTGTGTGTGTGTGGGGGGGGGGGGGGGTGGGGGGGTGGTTTTAGTTTAGACTTTTTCCTCCCCGGAGAGGGGTGGGGGTACTTGAAATTTTCGGTGGCGGGGGTAGAATTTTCGGGGAGGGGGCGGACACTGGAAAAAGTATATAATTATATTTCGTTGAATGGGACGGTAGACATGTTTTTTTTTTTGGGGGGGGGGGGGGGTGGGGGGTGGTGTGTGTGTGGGGGGGGGGTGGGGGTGGGGGTATGTGGGGGGTGGGGGGTGGTGTGTGTGGGGGGTGAGGGAGTGGTGTGTGTGGGGGGGTGGTGTGTGTGGGTGGGGGGGGTGGGGTGGTTTTAGTTTACACTTTTTCCTCCCCGGAGAGGGGTGGGGGTAGTTGAAATTTTCGGG